TCAAACACAAACCAGAAAAGTCCAAAAACAAATCAGGATCATGTTTAAGTAACGTTTTACAAATTTAGAAGGACACTAAAGATCTTAAAACACTTTGAGGTGTTCAACAGGAAACGTGAATCAGGAACACATGTGTACTCTGATTATTAAAGTCACAGTAACTAAAGGACGATAAGGAAGCACTGCAGTCCAGTGTTCAGACTGTCAGACGTGCACCAGTCTCTCCAGCGTCTCTCACACCTTCACTGTTTCAAAGTTTAACAATTTAGCAGATTTTCTTTAAAGGAAGCAAAGGAGATAAAAATACATCATCAAAGTCAGAGGTCACATACAACCGCTGCCACGAGGGGGGAATACCTGCAAACTAGGAAACCAAAACACTTCCTCATCAGCCTGCTGAGGGTTCTTTTATTTACTCTTCTGAGAAAACACTTCTGGTGTGTTCCTCATTGGACATCGGCTGCTGCCCTCCTCTGTCTTTCTGAGGATTTAAACACACTTATCAGAGTCCCCCACACACATGTGTGCCTGCTGCTAAACTCATCTGTTATGCATGATGTAATGATTTTCTGGGCTAAAGACAGAAATCTGTTGATCCGTTTTTTGCTGTTTGAAATGTGTGTGAAGCTGCAGATGGCAGACTTCCTCCCACAGGACAGCAGGCGAGAGGAATGCACGACTCATCAACAGTACGTCGCCATCTTTAAGTGGAATAAGACCCTCAGTACCCTCTCTGCTATCTCTGCTTTGTGCAAGCACACATCTGTGAAGTTGTGCCCTTGATCTGCATAATATCCACACGTCTGAAAGGCCAGCAAAGTGCACAACGCAGTGTGGAAAAGATCACGGGAAAGAAAGGGGAAGGGAGCTTTAGGTTCTTCCTGAACAAGTTAGCAGTGTTGAAGGACCCGTGGGTTTCTGATAAGACTGCAATAATTAAGAGGATGTGATGGTTTCTAAATATGAAACTCGCTCCTCAGTCAGGCCACACCAACCCAGCCAAAACAAATAAATTACTAAACACGTGTGAAAACTACCACATATGTAAAAACACAGAGTTATATGTAAAGCTATGAATAGATGTTGTCACACACTCGTGCTAACACGTTAGCACCTGTGTTCAGAGACAGTGTCCTCTCCGTTATTATCACTGTGTAAACAGACTGTTGAGAAAAGGATTGTTTGTAGAGCACACAGTGACCGAGGAGACACCAGAGAGCAAAACATCTAAAATATGCGGCTGAATGAATCATACGGTGGTTTGTTAGCATGTTTCCTCTTTATGATTAGAAATGAGCTCATCACACACCAACGACACTGACCTGAGGCGTCCCATTTAAGGTGCACCCCACCCTGCCCTGACTTGTCTCTGGGGAGGGGCTGGTTTGTCCTTCTGTGGAAGTCTTTTACTGAGGACTCCACACCATTATCGTTACATCAGCTTCCTGTCAGCGACTGGTTTGATGAAAGGTGCTGTTGTTGCATCTCAGCAGTTTATCAGGATATTCCTCTGGTCCCAGTGGTCCCAGTGGCCCACTTGGCATGATTGTTATGCTTCACATCACAGTTTGCTATGTTTAATGACTCGGACAGATTATAAGAGTCCCATTGTTTGTTTAAGTCACGGTCCTGTTAGAGAGTCTCGTTTATCTGCGTGAGCTGAATTTTAGCTGAAGTGTTTCTGCCTTTACTACAAAAACAGCAGCAGGGCATGCTGGGAAATATACTACTGCTACTTCTCCTTTCTGTCGTTTGTCAAAAAACCCACGAACCTGTTGAAATAAACTATGTACAATATTTTGAACATACAATACCAAACACACCCAGAAGAATCTTGAAATCCATCCAGTAAAACCTGCCTGACTACATAACAGCGCCCTGCTCACTGATCCACTCATCTGTTATAATAACACACTTATTATCTGATAGCTGTGATTATACACTTCTATTGTGTGAATTTATATTAATATGTATACAGATATGTTTACATTAGAACACACACACACATGCTGGTTTTTACAAGACTGTAGATTCTGCTCATGCATGACGTCGACACTTGAAACCTGAGTAGTGACCAAGAGCACGTGAGAGCACACAGAGCTTGTCAAACTGTTCATAAGAACGTGAGCTTGTTTAACCACGAGTGATGAAAACAGCAGCTCTTTGTCATCAAACACATTTCACCTTTAAGAAGTTTCACCAGCTGTTAACTGTGCTGATCATCTCCAGGAGAAATGTGATTCCTGCTGTGGAAGATTAATGATGATGAAGAGTGTGAGTGACCTCATCAGACAAATATGGCTGCACACTCAGGAGGGGGGCAGGCGGTGGCTGTGGTGTAACAGTTGAGAGTTTATTACAACTATAAATGACAGGTTTGTAATGTAAACCTATTGGCTGGAACGTTAAGGACAATTTGCTACACAGTAAAAAGCAAGACATGAGTCACCAAAGTTCTTTGGGTCACTCATGCATGAGGGAGACCTGCCTGGAGCCAAGTGTCGTTCCCCCCACTCGACCTCTCCCACGCTCCCAGAGTGTAGGTGTGAATGCCAGAACACACCAAGCCTTTGCAGACTGTCAAGGATCAAACCTCCACCAATCTAAAACTAATTATAAAACTCTGAGCATATATAAGTAGATATTTCTAAGCATAAATGATCATCAACAATACAAAACCTGACAATAAACTCTATTAAAACTCAGAGGATCAGAAGCACAAACTCTTTCATTCGTTTTTGTTTCTTTAGAATTTATTATTTAAACTCTGTAAATAAAACTCTCTGGAGTCTCCCTGCTGTACTGCTGCAGCGTTGCTCTGACAGTCTGAAATACCCGAGCATGTTTTCCACAACACAGAGATTCATGCACTTATTCCTGAACAGCAGCAGGAACAAGAAACAAAGTATTTGCACTGTTCAGACAATCAGACACAAAAGAAAGTGTGCTGTGACTCACAGTGTTACTCAGTCACAGCTGAACTTCCTGTCTGCAGTATTTGAGTAGGTGACCTTTTACTTTTAGGCAGGTTAAAAGCTGGAAATGACCCTGAGGATTTCCTATCTGCTGCACATGTTTGACATATCCAGATATTCCAGTCACAGTGAGTCACCATGAAGACTCACAGCTCACTGTGTTTGGAGACGCTCCGTTATTTAAACGACTTTCCTGCTGCTGTTCAGTGACAGCCTGATTACACACTGCAAACATGAAGGTTTAAGAAAGAAGGAAAGTTTCACATCACTTTGTTTGATGTGACCTGATCAGATCAGTGCTCTGTAAACTCTGTTCATAAAAGTAAGCGACTGATTGAAATGGATGCTTTCAAACGCCGCACAGCTGCCAGTCTCACCCCGAGCACAGACCTTTCAATGCTCAGAGAAACGAATAAATAACCCAAGAGCTCCATGTCAGATTCTGAGGGCCTCAGTCAGCAAGTTGAAGGTTAAAGTTCATGACAGTAACAAACAGA